GAAGATTCAAACCTAGTTTCACGACAAATGGGTGAGTTCTTACGAATGTAGATGTCCAGGCCAAGCATGTGATTATTGGAGTCTTTACGAATTAAAGGAAGATAACCATCAACACTAAGATCACAAGATGGGACAGCCGAACTCAAATTAGTCTCACAAAGAGCAAGTAGGTCTGGTGAACTTTGCAAGAGATAAGACTCAACAGAAGAAAAGTTACTTCGAAGACCACGAATATTAGTAAATGATAGGTTTAGAGAACTTGGTGATGACGATGGTTTTTTGTGTTTATTAGTTTTAGGTACTTTAGTCATTTTAAATTTATAAAGAACTTGACTCAAGTATAGATAGTACTCAGTACACTATTTAACAACTAAGCAATAGCCTCATTACTATTAATAAACCCTAAGCCGTAGCAAAGGGCTCCAAATGTGGCCTCTGCAATGCACACCAAAAGTACAAACAGGGACACCATCCATGCGCAACATGGCACTGTTAGTACTCTGATATTTTTCGGCTGTTGATGGAATCAGCCTCTCTGAGAGCTACCACAGAGTTCGGGAAACCTGACTACCAGCCGGCCTCAGAACCATAAAACTGAGTTTTAGAGCTGTACCCTCATTAGGAGATAATAGAATGAGTTGCCCAGTCATAAAAATAGGGACACAAGCAATACCCACGCATTGAGTCAAGAAGATCCAGCGTTCAACATCCTAAACTGGAAACAATGTATTAAAAATATATCTGCGCCAGCCTAATAGATGAGGAAGGGGTGCGAGGCTGGTCAACAGATAGAATCTGTTTACCCCTTAAGTCTTTGCCTAGGAGGCCTTCTACAAGACAGCAGCTGGATGCATGTAACATCTGCCCAAGATGAGTATTTTTATCGAGACACCTTATCGAGACCCTTTTATCGAGACACCTTTATCGAGACCCTGCCCAAGATGAGTATTTTTATCGAGACACCTCTTGCAGCCAAACTTCAACCTCTGTCACATCGTCGTAATGTTGCTTCTCTTTCTCTTTTCTACAAATAATATAATGAGTACTGCTCTAAAGAGCTAGCGTCTCTTGTACCATCTACTAAAATTCATTTTCATGTTACTCGTCATTCAATCAAGTCTCATCTTTTTTCTGTTACTGTTCCTAAGTGCTCCAAAAACTCTTATTCATCTAGTTTTTTTCCTCGAACATCAGTTCTTCGGAATTCGCTTCCTTCATCTTGCTTTCCTGATTCATATAATTTGCAATCTTTTAAGTCGTCTGTCAATCGTTATCTTGCTCTACAATCTTCATCTTTTCTCTTCCAGTAACTCCCAACACTAATTAGTGGTTGCTTGCAGCCTTGTTGGAAGCAAAGATGTTAAAAAAAAAACAAAAAAAAACCAATGACAACATACTCACAATACTTTGATAAATGTAATAAGGATGATTTATTTTGAACTGTACATGATTTTTCTATATATTTATCAATCCTTTTTAAGTCTGAATATGCTCATAATAACTGAAATAAAAATCAGGAAAAAGAGGTCGACAATCAGTGAAAAGAGATCTACCCTGTTTTTAATATATCTAATAATTCTTCAACTTGAATAAAAGTTATTTGAAAATCTTCTTTATAATTTAATAAAAGATTATTTGAATAAAAAAATTTATTCAAAAATTGGTTAACTTTTGCAAGTCTTTGAGTATATTAAAATTATTTAAAAATAAAACTCCCTAATTTGAAATATACCTCTTAAATTAAACATTTGTTAATAAATAAAGATACAAACGCCACGTTTATTAAAAAAAAAAGATTTGTCCCGCCCTGGTTTTTTCAAATAATTTTGTCTTTTAATTTGCATTTTTGTGGTTTTTTAAACTATCAATTTAATAAGTTTTCTCACTTGAATTAATTGGTTTTGATATAACTGTACTTGGTTTTTTCTTTTTTTATGTCATAAAGCAGTTAAGAGCTGTTTTTTACCACAAACAAGATCAAAACTATAAGTGTATATATATATATATATATATATATATATATATATATATATATATATATATATATATATATATATATATATATATATATATATATACATATATATATACATATATATATAAGAATATATACATATATATATATATATATATATATATATATATATATATATATATATATATATATATATATATATATATATATATATATACACACACTTATAGTTTTGATCTTGTTTTTTGTGGTAAAAAACAGCTCTTAACTCTTATATATATAAATAATAAATATATATATATATATATATTTATATATATATATATATATATATATATATATATATATATATATATATATATATATATATATATATATATATATATATATATATATATATATATATGCATACATACGCGCAAAAAAAATAAATTTAACCAATTCATTCCTCTTATCCCTCGCGCTGCTTTGCGGTAAAGGTGTTGCCTTAGTGTCAAGTTGGATTTTTTTTTTATAAATATGATATTTAAAATAGCAAAGTTACTGTTATAACTTAATAGCTTAAGTTATGTTTTAAAAGTTGCAGTCATAGTGTAATGAGTAAATTATAATTTATGAGCAAGTAATGTATTTATTACTACTACTATTTGATACTACTTAATTTTAGTAATTGTTTTTACTTATCATGATACTTAAAAAAAGGAAAAGTAAAAATGCAAATATTACAATATTTAAACCGCTTTAATTAGTTATAGAAAACTGTTTAATACATTTATATTGACAATAAAGCATGTGTTAAATAAATAGAAATGTTAAGTTAATAAATTAAAACATTATTGTTATAAAACTTTAAACTTCATATTTGCACAAAAACAAGCTATATCTAAATACCAAACGAGTAAGATCAAGCAAAACATTAGATATCATGTGTTATATTATTTATTGCTTCTTGATCTATTAAAAAATTTTGTATATTAAACATACTATTAAAATTCAAGTATAAATAATTTTTTCATGCAGATGGTTTTTAAGTTAATGTTTTTATTTGTTTCGTTTTTTTGTTCAAATTGTTTTGAAATAAAAAGTGAGAAAAAAATTTTATTTAATAAATTGAATTATATTTCGTTAAATTTAAGTAAATGCTTAAACTTTCAGGAATGAGCCATGCCACCGGGAATATCGGGACGTTTGCTGTAATTAAATTTATAATAATTGAATGTTAAATTTTAAATTTCTTTTTTGTAATTTGAAATTTCAATTGCAAAATTTGAGAAAAAATGAGAGAATTTTAGAAAACTAAAATTCTTTTTTCAAATAGATTTCTTCTTATAACAAATTCCTAAAAACAATTTGCGTATTTATAGAAAATGTTTAATCTTGATATCATTTTAAATAAAATAAAAATATAAAAAAATGGTTTTGCGTTTTTTATATACTATTTGAGACTTCTTGTTAAAATAATTTTTAGTTAAAAGATTATATTATGTGTTAACAACATATAATATATAAATAGAAATATTTGTATGGTTAACTTTTGCAAGTCTTTGAGTATATTAAGTAAATTTTATAGTAATTTAAATACAAAAGTGCTTTACGTTGAATGAAAATCTCTGCGCGATAAAACCAATTATAGTTCTATTTAAAAGATAAGTTAAGCGTGGCATATTTTATGACCCCTAATATAAAAACTCAAACAAAAACATAACTTTTAAGAATTGCTAATAAAAATGCTACACTAAAAAAAAAAATAAGAAAAAAAAAACAAATGAAAAACGAATTGTGAAAATATTTTTTTAAGAAAAAACTAAATGCGAAGGTGCAATACGCTTAGTTCTGATATCTGACATATATATATATATATATATATATATATATATATATATATATATATATATATATATATATATATATATATATATATATATATATATATATATATATATATATATATATATCAGATATATATATATATCAGATATATATATATATATATATCAGATATATATATATATATCAGATATATATATATATATCAGATATATATATATATATATATATATATATATATATATACATATATATATATATATATATATATATATATATATATATATATATATATATATATATATATATATATATATATACATATATATATACATATATATATACATATATATCAGATATATATATATATATCAGATATATATATATATATATATATATATATATATATTTAAGTTTTATTTTAAAATATTTATACAAATAAAATCTTCAATAGATTTTATTTATATAAATATTTTAAAATAAAATTTTCTTTTTATGGATTGATTTCTATTTGTTAAAAATATATTTATTTTTACAATATTTCGAGGGAATATTGATACCCTTGTATATACTTGATAACAAGGGTATCAATATTCCCTCGAAATATCGTAAAAATAAATATATTTTTAGCAAATAAAAATTAATCCATAAAAAAAAAAATTTTTTTCAAAATATATATATATATATATATATATTTATATATATATATATATATATATATATATATATATATATATATATATATATATATATATATATATATATATATATATATATATATATATATATATATATATATATATATATATATATACAATTTTTTTATTTTTCCAAAAATAAGAAAACTTGTTGTTTTTTTTTAAATACTATGGAAAAAGTTTTAAAACTTTATAAATTTTTTTTTTTTAAAATAATAGATGCCTGCCTGAATCAAAACTCTCAGTCGACATAGTAGCCCTCCACACATGTTCTACCTATTTGTCAGTCGATGTTGCTGTACTACTTTCATGTTCTACTTATTTTTCGGTTGATGTAGTAGCACTTTGCACATGTTCTACCTATTTGTTAGTTAATGCAACTGCACTCCTCATATGTTCAACCTATTTATCAATTTATTTGTATTTATAGGTTTTTTTAGAAAATTGTAGCACAATTAAGCATTCAACAGGAATGAAAGCAAATAAATAATTTTTTTTAGTTGATCATTGAAAGATATAAATCAGAGAAAGCCTTACCAGTTCTTGAAAAAATGAAATATCTTGTTCCTTCTGATATGACAGTTGGTATGCTCTCCAATGTGATTAGGTATTTTATCATGCTTTTTTTTTTTTTAATTGAGCATAAACATTAAATATTAATTCAACACATGTATATCTTTATATCATACTTTTCTATAAAAGTGTCATTATTTAAATGCAGCTGCAAGAGTGATTAAAATTATTGTATTTAGAATATGGATAATATTATAAGTTGGATATTATTATTATGAGGTAGTGGTGTAGTGGTAGAGCGCTTGCTTCATAAAAGAGTGGTTCCGAGTTCGATCCCCACCACGTCCCTGGTAGTACCGCGCTCAACTCGTTTCTCCGCGCAGCGGCCTTGTTCGTCAAGGTTCATGTTTCGGAGTTATAAAGTTGAGAGAAGGTTATAACCGCAAATAAGTAGCCTCCTCGTCTGTATTGGCCTCCTCGGCCTTAAAGAAGTGAATTAAAAAAAAAAAAAAAAAAAAAAAAGTTGGATGCTTTTATTGTAGTTAAGAAATTTATTGTTTATTAATTTTAGTAAGCAATAGTTTATATTATGCTAGAGCAGATAAATATTGAATTCTTGACTCAACTTATGGGTTTATGGTTTTGCGTATAGGTGTAAATGATTCTGGTAGCAAGGTTTTGAAAACTCTGTAGTAGCTCATAGAGAGGCTGATTGTAATATCTGCTGTAAATATTAAAGTAATAACAGTGCCATTTTGAAAATAGAAAGTGTCCCTGCCAACAATATCTTGAGCATTGTATAGCAAAATATAGCATAAAATTCAAATAGAACTAAAAATAAATATATATCTTGTACTTCTTTTAAAGTATTATATGATTTAGCATATAATTGCACTCCTTTCTAAGGCTAAGCTACGGTTTCTATAGTGGCTACCTGCGTTTGCTATTTCTAATTATAAATTTTTAATCACAAGAACAACTCTCCAAAGAACAAATCTCTTTCTAAAGTATTCTTCAAACTATTTAACAAATGCTTGACTGAATTTTTTTTCCTTACTTTCTGCAAAAAGGCATCTATGGTTCTAATTTTTAGAAGCTTTAAAGTTCATTTAGATTCCTTTAAATCTCCCAATCTTCTTACTGTTAATAACAACTATTAACAGTAAGAAGATTGGGTTATATTTAAAGAGGTCTGAATGAATTCTAAAGTTTCTAAGTGGTGAGGTTATTGCTCTTTAGATATAGAAGGCTTTCTATAAAATCTGTAATTTTAGTCTTTCCTATAAGCTTGCTTCATTTGGTATATCTGGGAATGTTTGTAAAATTATTGAATCATTCAATTGCTTCATTAGCATCTGTTAAGGTTGCTTTTCTTTATCGTGCTTGCTATTTTCTCTCTCCTGATTCAATCCTCTACCTCTACAAATCTCTTATTCGTCTCTGTATGGAATACTGTTATCATATTTGTGCTGGTTCTTCTAATGATGATATTTCTCTTTACAATAGACAAGCGGTGAGTGATCGGGGTTGATATTTGACCGAGGCTGGGTTTGATAAAATATAGATGGGGCCAGGTTTGTGACTGGGGCTGTATAAACATTTATACATCCTAAAGTATATTTTTTTTAATTTAAAATTCATGTTATATTTTGTATATATATATCAGGCCTTGTTACGAGATTTCGCTGCGTAACGGAAAAGCTGAACGTGAATAAAAGTAACTTTACTCAATAAAGATATTTACATTGTTAAAAGTTAATTTACGTCAGTTGCGTTTTTACTTCATTGTAATTAAATTTAAAATGACATTAAAAACTATTGTTAGTCTTTGAAACGAAATAGCTTTAAATTGTACAATGTTGTTATAAAAAAAAAAAAAATTCAATGTTGGTTAAAAAAAAGTCTTCTTGTATTAAAATCTTATACTTATTTAAACTTAATTTTTTTGCTTTTAAACATTCGTTTTAAGGTTGTTTTTTTTTTTATTTTTTTTTTTAAATAATTTAAATTTAACACTTGTTTATGGTTGATTTTCTTAAAGGGATTTAAATGTACTTATAACTAAACGCATAGATTGGGTTTTCCCTTTTAAAAAAATGTTTGCACAAACTGGTTTTGATAAAATAAATGTTGTAAAGAAACAAAATATACTGCTTTTTCGGCTTTGTTTTTTTTTATTTCCATTAAACTATTTTATTTTTATGTACAGTGAAACCAAATATTTTTTTTCTCAATCCAAAAAAAAATTGTGTTTTCGGTTTTCAGATGTTATAAGCAGAATTTGTTTTTAACAAATATCATTATAATTTTGAAATTTATGTATCTTATATTTATAGCTCAAGTACTAGTTTTGTTTTTAAAATAAAATAAAGATAAGTTGGGTTTTTAAAGAGTTTATTTACTGATCACGTTATTTTTAATAGGTTTGTATTTTAGTTTGTTCAAGGACGTATTGTTAATACGTCCTTGGTTTGTTTTATAAAAAAAAATTCTTTGGCAAACGGCAAAGGGAAAACCCAAACATAACATTTATAACTCGAGTTTAAAAGTATTGACGTCATTTATTAACTTGTAGTTATAAAATGAATAATGCGCTTCTGTAAATAATGAATGAAACTGTAAAATAATGGAAAAATAAAAACTGGAAAATAATGCGCTTTTGTAAGCGCATTTTTCAGACCAGTATTTGGAACTTACCTGAAACTTAACTAAAATTAAAATAAAGTTATATGTAATACGAACATTTTAAAGTAACTTGAATTAAATTTATCAAATCTTTTTTTACTTGAGTAATTTTATAAAAAAAATTACTAAAATAAAAAAAATTTTGATAAATTTAATTCAAGTTTTAATTAAAATTTTAATTAAAATTCTTTCATTTAATTAATGAAAGAATTTTAATTAAATTTAATAAATTTATTTACTAAAAACTATAATTATTAAAAAAATATTTAAATTTTAAAATAAATTAATAATATTTCTTTTTTTAAATTTGATTGTTTATAAACTTATGAAATCTAATATTTAAAATTAAATATGATGAAGTTTAAACTTAAAACACTTTATTTTCTTTAAGTAATTTTTAAAAACAAAAAAAAAATTATTAAACAAATTGTTTCTTTAACAAAAAATCTATTAGTTTACAATTGCAGTTAAATGCTTTTACTTACGACTTTAATACTTCTGAATGAACGTCACATAAACGATATAAAAAGATAATTTAAATATTCTTAAAGATAAAAGTTTTTGCTGAACGCATAACTGCTGAACGCGTAGGCAAATCGCCTTTTCGCAGACAAAATGCGAGCTGCGTAAGGCTTCAACAAGGCCTGATATATGTATGCATATATAAACATCGTTATAATCAACATGATCATTATTATCATCATTATTATGATGGTGTTAATGATAATAATTAAAATTATCATTTTTTTTTTTTAATTATTTTCGCTTCCAACAAGGCTGCAAGCAACCACTAATTAGTGTTGGAAATTACTAGAAGAGAAAAGATGAAGATTGTAGAGCAATATAACGATTGACAGACAACTTAAAAGATTGCAAATTATATGAATCAGGAAAGCAAGATGAAGGAAGCGAATTCCGAAGAACTGATGTTCGAGGAAAAAAACTAGGCGAATAAGAGTTTTTGGAGCACTTAGGAACAGTAACAGAAAAAGGATGAGACTTGACTGAATGACGAGTAACATGAGAATGAATTTTAGTAGATGGTACAAGAGACGCTCTTTAGAGCAGTACCCATTATAGTATTTGTAGAAAAGAGAAAGAGAAGCAACATTACGACGATGTGACAGAGGTTGAATGTTGGCTGCAAGAGCAGATCCAACTATGTTTACAATGCGTTTTTGCACCTTGTCTAAAAGAGAAAGGGCATCATTAGAAGATCCGCCCCAGATATGGCAACAGTATTCCATACAAGGCCGGGTTTGAGATTTATAGAGATAGAGAATAGAATCCAGAGTAAGAAAGTGACGAGCTCGATAAAGAGAAGCAACTTTAGCAGATGCTAATTTTGCAACGGATTTGATATTAGGTTTCCAAGAAAGATCAGAAGTAAGAGTTAATCCTAGAAGATGAATATAGAAAGGTCTAAATTATTGTGATAACGATTGGCCGAAAAAAATTGAGTTTTATCTGAATTAAAGTTCACCAGCCACTGTGAGCCCCATGCTGTAGCAGAAGTGAGATCCTTTTCAAGCTCAGATGCCCCCTGCAAGCAATCAGAGGGAGTTGGCTTCTTATCATGACAAGAATAAATGGTAGTATCATCAGCAAACAATGCCACCTTAGATGTGAGAATATCTGGAAGATCGTTAATGTAAATTAAAAAGAGTATAGGGCCAAGGATTAAACCTTGGGGAACCCCTGAGATTACAGAATAAGAAGAAGAGTGCTGTCCATCAAGGACAACTTTTATACTACCATTGGAAAGAAAGGATTCAATAATCTTAAAGATGTTTCTAGATACACCGTAAGAAGAAAGCTTATGGAGGAGACCAGCATGCCAAACTTTATCAAACGCTTTAGAAATGTCAAGAGCAATGGCCTTAACCTCTCTAATGCGCGATAAAACCTATCGGTTATAACTGATAGCAAATCAGCCGTAGAACGAGAAGATCGAAATCCGTATTGATGATCAGAAAGTAGGTTATGAGATTTGAGATGAGAGATTAAGTGTTTATTAATTGAAGATTCAAAAACCTTGCTTATGATAGGAAGAAGACTAATGGGACTGTAGTTAGATGAACCAGATTGCTCTCCAGAATTTTTAAAAATAGGGATAACAGATGCTGCTTTCAAGCAGGCTGGAAAACAAGACTCTGATAAGCACTTGTTAAATAGTTTTGAAAGGATAGACAATAGCTCCGAAGAACACTTCTGCAAGACTATAACAGGTATGTTGTCCGGACCGCAAGCTGTAGAAGAGTCTCAGCGGGAAATCACTTTAGATACAGAAGCTGGAGTGATACGAATGTCAAGCAATGGATCAGCCTGTTTGACGGCTTAATCAGGTAGAACGCAACTAGTGGAATCAAGAGATGATATTGATGAAAAGTTCTTTGCAAACAATTCAGC